TACGAAGAAGAAACAGAACAAGTCTCTCAAAGTCAAATAAATGCCTCATGAAAAAGGATCTGCTGCCATCGCCATCATAAAATCTGAAGGTACAATTTTTAAAATTTTAAGAATAAAATTTTGTTTTATCTGACACTGTGGCTCCTTACAAGGAAAGAAAATAGTTTCCCACCATCTCTCTAGCATATTTGTGCTCTAGAGTTTAAAAATCTGTATGTCAGATTAAGAGCCAAGGAGAGTTAGTTATAGAAACAAGAATATCTAAAGTCAAATTTTAACAATTTTAGTTATCTCAAATTTTTCTTGTCTTTCCTTTTTCACAAACTATAGTGCCAGATTGGCTTGGTTCATATCTTGGCTTTGCCAACCTGTTAGCTGTATGACCTAGCCGATTCATTCCTTCTGCCTCTGGGAGAGGCATAAAACAGAGATAACAACCTACCTTATTTCATTGAGTTAGGATTAAATGATTTAACATGTATTAACAAGTAGTATGTACCACATAAATGTTTGTTAAATACAAATTAATGAAAAATTAGTCTTTCTTAAGCCAAGACTTTTGTTAGGCTCCGAGTGTACAAAAACCAATGCAACAAGATGCCTGTTTTCAAAAAAGCTGATAAGGGTGATAGATGAATGATGTAACAACGATTACAAAATAACAAAAAAAGGTGACACTACAGAGATGGGCACAGTCTATTTGCAAGTACATAAATAGAACATGTAACTTCATGACAAGATAAGTGGGAGGTGGGAAGAGAATTAGGTCAGTGACATCACTGAGGTTTACAGTCTTCACAATGATGCCCTTACTACAAGGAAATAGACTTATTGGGCAAAACCTCCAAGAAATCACTAGCTTAAATACAAATCAGTAACACCTAAGAAAGTTTTATTTTCCTCCCATTTCAAAGTAAATAGAAAAAGGTCTCCTCTAGATGTCTTTAGGACCCCTTGGTGACTATTTCTTCACTATCAGCTCTGTATCCTTACAATAAGACTATTAATACTGGTAAATGGAAGATTCCTCCATCTCACCTCCCATATCCTTGTCAAATGGATTGGCCTTCCATTTTGTGCCCTCGTCACACATCTATGTCATGAAGGAGCAGTAAGTAGAAACGTAAAACCGAAGGTCTGAAATCTGATCTTCCAACTACCATTTTCTCTTATCCCCTGAAAAGTAGTAGGCAAAAGCCATCTTAAAAACTGCCTGACTTGTTTTCAGTTTAGCAGGGAAACTTCACATAAACAATCAAAAACAGCTGCCACCTTCCTCTGCCTCTTTTTATCAGCTATGTTTTAAGAACACAGAACAAAAGAAAATATTTCAGATCAAAATACAAACAAACCATTTACACTTTGGCTATTTCAATTTTGTTGATCTTTTCAAAAAACCATCTCCTGGATTTATTGATTTTTTGAAGGGTTTTTTGAGCCTCTATCTCCTTCAGTTCTACTCTGATCTTAGTTATTTCTTGCCTTCTGCTAGCTTTTGAATTTGTTTGCTCTTGCTTCTCTAGTTCTTTTAATTGTCAAGTTAGGGTGTCGATTTTAGATCTTTCCTGCTTTCTCTTGTGGGCAATTAGTGCTATAAATTTCCCTCTACACACTGCTTTAAATGTGTCCCAGAGATTCTGGTACGTTGTGTGTTTGTTACCATTGGTTTAAAAGAACATATTTATTTCTGCCTTCATTTCGTTATTTACCCAGTAGTCATTCAGGAGCAGGTTGTTCAGTTTCCATGTAGTTGTATGGTTTTGAGTTAGTTTCTTAATCCTGAGTTCTAATTTGATTGCACTGTTGTCTGAGAGACAGTTTGTTGTGATTTCTGTTCTTTTACATTTGCTGAGGAGTCCTTTACTTCCAATTATGTGATTAATTTCAGAATAAGCGCAATGTGGTGCTGAGAAGAATGTATATTTTGTTGATTTGGGGTGGAGAGTTCTGTAGATGTCTATGAGGTCCACCTGGTACAGAGTTGAGTTCAATTCCTGGATATCCTTGTTAATCTTCTGTCTCGTTGATCTGTCTAATATTGACAGTGGGGTGTTAAATTCTCCCATTATTACTGTATGGGACTCTAAGTCCCTTTGTAGGTCTTTAAGGACTTGCTTTATGAATCTGGGTGCTCCTGTATTGGGTGCATATATATTTAGGATAGTTAGCTTTTCTTGTTGAAATGATCCCTTTACCATTATGTAATGGCCTTCTTTGTCTCTTTTGATCTTTGTTGGTTTAAAGTCTGTTTCATCAGAGACTAGGATTGCAACCTCTGCTTTTTTTTTTGTTTTCCAATTGCTTGGTAGATCTTCCTCCAGCCCTTTATTTTGAGCCTATGCTCTGCACATGAGATGGGTCTCCTGAATAGAGCACACTGATGGATCTTGACTCTCTATCCAATTTGCCAGTCTGTGTCTTTTAATTGGGGCATTAAGCCCATTTACATTTAAGGGTAATATTGTTATGTGTGAATTTGATCCTGTCATTATGATGTTAGCTAGTTATTTTTCCCATTAATTGATGCAGTTTCTTCATAGCACTGATGGTCTTTATAATTGGGCATGTTTTTACAGTGGCTGGTACCAGTTGCTCCTTTACATGTTTAGTGCTCCCTTCAGGAGTTCTTGTAAGGCAGGCCTGGTGGTGACAAAGTCTCTCAGCATTTACTTGTCTGTAAATGATTTTATTTCCCTTCACTTATGAAGCTTAGTTTGGCTGGATATGAAATTCTGGGTTAAAAATTATTTTCTTTAAGAATGTTGAATATTGGCCCCCACTCTTTTCTGGCTTGTAGGGTTTCTGTCAAGCGATCTGCTGTTAGTCTGATGAGCTTCCCTTTGTGGGTAACCCAACCTTTCTCTCTGGCTGCCCTTAATATTTTTTCCTTCATTTCAACCTTGGTGAATCTGACAATTATGTGTATTGGGGTTGCTCTTCTCAAGGACTATCTTTGTGGTGTTCTCTGTATTTCCTGAATTTGAATGTTGGCCTGTCTTGCTAGGTTGGGAAAGTTCTCCTGGATAATATCCTGAAGAGTGTGTTCCAACTTGGTTCCATTCTCCCCATCACTTTCAGGTACACCAATCAAACTTTTCACATAGTCCCATATTTCTTGGAGGCTTTGTTCATTTCTTTTTACTCTTTTCTTCTCTAATCTTGTCTTCTTGCTTTATTTCATTAATTTGATCTTCAATCACTGATATCCTTTCTTCCACTGGATCAAATCGGCTATTGAAGCTTGTGCATGCATCACAAGGTTTTTGTGCCATGGTTTTCAGCTCCATCAGGTCATTTAAGGTCTTCTCTACAGTGTTTATTCTAGTTAGCCATTCATCTAACTTTTTTCAAGGTTTTTAGCTTCCTTGCAATGGGATAGAACATCCTCCTTTAGCTCAAAGAAGTGTGTTATTACGGACCTTCTGAAACCTACTTCTGTCAACTCTTCAAAGTCATTCTCTGTCCAGCTATGTTCCATTGCTGGCGAAGAGCTGCAATCCTTGGAGGAGAAGGGGCACTCTGGTTTTTAGAATTTTCAGCTTTTCTGCTCTGGTTTCTCCCCACCTTTGTGGTTTTATCTACCTTTGGTCTTTGATGTTGGTGACCTAGAGATGTGGTTTTGGTGTGGATGTCCTTCTTGTTGATGTTGATGCTATTCCTTTCTGTTTGTTAGTTTTCCTTCTAACAGTCAGGTCCCTCAGCTGCAGATCTGTTGGAGTTTGCTGGAGGTCCACTCCAGACCCTGTTTGCCTGGGTATCACCAGCGGAGGCTGCAGAACAGCAAATATTGCAGAACAGCAAATATTGGTGCCTGGTCCTTCCTCAGGAAGCTTCGTCCCACAGGGGCACCTGCCTGTATGAGGTGTCTGTTGGCCCCTACTGGGAGGTGTCTCCCATTCATGCTACACGGTGGTCAGGGACACACTTGAGGAGGCAGTCTGTCCGTTCTCAGAGCTAAAATGCTGTGCTGGGAGAACCAGTGCTCTCTTCAGAGCTGTCAGATAGGGACGTTTAAGTCTGCAGAAGTTTCTGCTGCCTTTTGTTCAGCAATGCCCTGCCCACAGAGGTGGAGTCTGTAGAGGCAGTAGGCCTTGCTGAGCTGCAGTGGGCTCTGCCCAGTTCGAGTTTCCCGGCCACTTTGTTTACCTACTGAAGCCTCAGCAATGGTGGATGCCCCTCCCTCTGCCAGGCTGCAGCCTCGCAGGTTGACCTCAGACTGCTGCGCTAGCAGTGAGCAAGGCTCTGTGGGAGTGGGACCCGCCAAGCCAGACATGGGAGAGAATCTCCTGGTCTGCTGGTTGCTAAGACCATGGGGAAAAGCCCAGTATTTGGGCAGAGTGTCCCGTTTTTCCAGATACAGTCTGTCATGGCTTCCCTTCGCTAGGAAAGGGAATCCCCCAACCAGAAGTGGGTCTTTAGGGCTTATTTCACATCACATCTGAGAGGGCTCTGAGCATTCATTTAATTATATAATACATACCATTTGGCGATATGTATATAAATGTTTATATAAACACTCTCCTATATACTTACATGATCAATACATGTATGCAAGCATATGCAAAATATCCTAATATTCTCCAATTAAAGTTTTTATAAGTCCACAATTAACTTTCATTATTCTAAAAAATAAACAAGAATTAAGAAAGGCTTATTTGTGATTTCCATAAGGACAATGAGTAACAAACAGCCCACCTTATCTTCTTCATTAAGTAACAGAGCAGTGTTTTCTTTACCCTTCTGGCTGTGCTTTCATCCAACCAGAAGCTTCCCCACTGACACACACAGACTTCTTCAAGTAATCATTCCTTACCTTTGGTCCCAGGAACAGGAGGAGAAAAGAAAGGGGGAGGGAAAGACATCAACTCAATCACATGCAGTAGCTACATGTTTTAAAACAATATTATATACTGTGAGGAAATTAACATAAAAAGCAAATGGCTCTTCTGACACCTTGCTGATCCACTGAAGACAAGAAAAGTAAAATTAAAGATGCTTACCTGCTGTTCCTGCATTCTAGCAGCACCAAGTTCTGAGAGAGACATGGTGAGCTTCTCTTGTTGTTCTGACAAATATTTCTGATACAGGCTTAGAAGTTCTTGGCATTCTCTATACTGTAGCTGAAGAGGTGAGGTTGCAAATTAAGGTGAAAAAACCGAAAAATTGATCCAAACTGCATCCATCAATGCTGCTTTTCATATTCCAATAAACAAAACAGAACCAAAAATGCAATCATATTTGGTGAGACAGTCATAAGTATACAGTCTTCAGATAAAAGTTACATGTATTCCTCCCCCAAAATGATAAAACAATACTTCACAAAAAGAGTAGCAAAGAATATCCCATTTGAAAACAAATTTATTCCTTGATTCTTTAAATTTGAATAAAAACAAATGTAGATACATGCAAACGAACCCTTACCTCACACCATATTAAAAAAACAAAACAAGCTGAAAATGTATCATTGATCTAAACGTAAGAGTTAAAACTATAAAACTCTTAGCAGAAAATACAAAAGTACATCTTTGTGACCTTGGATTAGGTGATGATCACTTAAAAGCACAAGTAACCAAATTAAAAAAAAAAATAGATAAATTGGGCTTCAAAATGTAAAATGACTGTGCTTCAAAGGACATTATTTAAAAATTGAAAAAAAAAAAAACCCTTGAGTGAGTGAAAATATTTGGAAATGATACGGTAAAGAATTTGTGTCCAGAATATATAAACACCTTGTAAAACTAAACAATAAAAAGATAATGAGTACAATTTAAAAGTGGGCAAAGGCTTTGAATAGACATTTCCCAAAACAAAATATGCAAATGGCCAAGAAGCATAAGAAGAGATACTCAACATAGCCATTAGGGAAAAGTAAATAAAAAACACACTGAGATACCATTTTGCATTCACTAAGATGACCATAACCAAAAAGACTAACAAGCACTGACAAGGATATGAAGAAACTGGAACCCTCCTAAATAACTAATGGGAACATAAGACTGTGCTGCCACTTTGGAAAATAAGTTAGCTGTTTCACAATGTTAGAGATTTTTTTGACATATGACCCAGTAATTCTACTCCTAGGTATATACTCGAGAGAAGTGAAAATATGTCCTGAAGAATATTAAATATATAAGCAAAGACAACTTTTTAAAGAACATATGTCCACACAAAAACTTGTATATACATATTCAACATGGCATTATTCCTATAGTAGAAAAGTAAAAACAATCTCAATGTCCACGGATAAACAAAATGTGGAATATTTATAAATGGAATATTATTCAGCCATCAAAAAGCAATGAAGTACCGCTACAAGCTACAACATGGATAATCCTTGAAAATATTATGCTAAGTAAAAGAAGCCAGACACAAAAGGCCATATATTGCATGATTTCATTTGTATAAAATGTTCAGAACAGGCAAATATATACAGACAGAAATAGATTAGTGGTTGCTAAGGGTTGGGGGAGAAGAAATGGAGAGCAACTGCAAACAGGCATGAATTTTGGTGGAAAGGTAATAAATACGTTCAGGAATTACAAAGTAGTTGTGTTTGCACATTTTTGGAATATACTCAAAACAATTTAATTATACAGTTCAAAAGAGTGAATTTTATTTTACATGAATTATACACAATAAAGTTATTATTTGAAAAAATCAGTATGGGGTACAAATAGTAACACTGTTCTGATAAGAGTACTGACAATTTACACAGAAGGTTCCTAACTGTATTAAAGAGAGTATAATTTGATATTTTTTGTGAAGTTTTTCAGTTAAGTCAATATTTCATTAATAAAACCATCACCAGGAAATATTCTGAACCCATATCTCCCTACATTTTTTATAATTTTATAATTTGGTATAAAGAACATGGCAATTTAACCTGGGGTACCCTCTCTCACAACTCGTAAAACTTGCCAAGTGTTCAAGATAAAAATACTAACTCAGAAAACGTCAGCCAACTTTGTAGACCAGTGCCTGGGAGACAAATAGTTCTACCCAAGAGAGAGTTCTGTTCCTTATTTTTCTTTGTGGTAATTTCCTCCCCAGGCTCTTTGTCCCTTCAGTACATTTTCAGATCTCCCCTTAACACTTACTTACGTATGCTGTTGGTATAAGAATTTCTATCCAATGAGATTTATTCTGTATAAATACTTTTACAACCGGTCATCATGATTAAGGGTCGAAATATTACTTTTTAAATGTCAAAATGGTGTCTGGTTTCAGTATTTCTTAACATTTTCATAACCTAATCATTGCTTCTGGGCAGATTCTTGAGCTAATAACTTTTGCCAATCATGACTGCATAAATAACTAATTGCTTCATTGTTCTCATTATTAACCTTTAACAAAAAAAGGAGCCAGAGGTAGATGATAGAAGAGGAGCTGGTTCACAGGGAAAGGACAGGTTACTAAGCTTAGATAATACAATAATTAGAAGAGCTTGTTGAATCCTTGGCATCTTAAATAACAATAGTATAAATGGTAGTCTAAATAGATTTTCAGAGTCAATGTACATTAGACTAGGCTGGTTTTACTTTTCCAAGGAAAGCAAGCTCTAAAAGATAGGAATGATTTGTGGTGGTCCCAGGAGTCTCTGCCAGCTATTATGTATATAAAAGGAGATTTTTATTCTTGCTGTTACCATAGGCAGTAATTTTTATAGTAGGTGAACATATTAGTCTGGTCACAGAATATGAATTGTACTCTGGAAAAATCAAGCACAATTATATAGCTTAGGAGTAAAATGTCAGCATTTGAAACAAATTACAGGCAAATTCATTTACACACATGCTATGTGGGAGAATATGAAAACAGGTAGTCCTGCCTTTATCAATTTTTAATGTCTTTCTTGATATAGCAGATTTCAAAATGCACCCTCCCCCACCTTTCCTTCCTCCCTAGCACAATGAGACTTCAATCCTCCATCTGGAGAGAAAGATTTATGTTAGGAAAATGTGGACAAAATGCCTTCTCAATAATCTGGGGGGTACAGTGAAAAAGAAGACATATTTAACTCCATCCTGGCTGGCTGACAGAAAAGAATGAACTAGATGTTGAAAACCAAACTTAAGGGAAAGTGTACACCAAACCATGACATGAATTTAAAACTCTGTAGTCTGCCTAACCACTGTTTAAGAAGTGGAAGACATAGCAGTCATTGCAACTTCTTCAAAGAAATAAGTCTTCATTAGGTAACACAAATAAATAAATAAATATAAATTAGTATTAAGCAAGATTCCATCAAAACCTAACCATCAAATTAATTAGCTGAAATGGCTGTGGAAAATAATCATTTGGTAAAGCTTAAAATCTTAACACTAAAATGCATTAGATAGATAAGTAAAAGTAATGATAAGAGCAGTATAATAAGGGGATGAATTAAAGAATAAAAACTGTGTGAGAGACAAATCACAAGTGGAGAGCGGAAGGGCCGGAGATAGGATATACTACTAGGAGGCTGCCAAAGTAAAGAAAGATTATTTTAACTGAAATAATTCCCCTGGCCTACCAGCGTTCACCCCCACCACTTCACCTCACCCTTATCTCTGACACCTGGGATGCTTGGACTGGTACTTAGTAATCTTGATCAGAACTAATGTTTACAGAACTAATCTTTACAGAACTAAATGTAGAGAGGCCTCTGTGAAAAGACAAAAGGTGAATCATTAAATTAAAAGAAAAAAAAAAGATTCTCCTTTTTTGGAGCCAAGACTCCTTGGAAAAACGGTTGAACCCCATTTTGGGGTAGAGAAAGTATAAAGTAAACTTGAAACATCTTGTTGTGCTGTAAAATGCTAGAAAGTGTTCAAAGACAAATAGATGAGGGTTTGTCACAAGAGTAGGAGGTAGCAACCAGGTGCGGTGGCTCACATCTGTAATCCCAGCACCTTGGGAGGCTGAGGGGGCCGGATCATGAGGTCAAGAGTTTGACACCATCCTGGTCAACATGATGAAACCCTGTCTCTACTAAAAATACAAAAATTAGCTGAGTATGGTGGCAGGCACCTGTCATCCCAGCTACTCGGGAGGCTGAGGCAGGAGAATCGCTTGAACCTGGGAGACGGAGGTTGCAGTGAGCCCAGATCACTCACTGCACTCCAGCCTGGCAACAGAGCGAGACTCCATCTCACAAAAACAAAACAAAACAAAACAAAACAAAACAAAAAAACAAGACAGTGAAAATCAGCCAGATGTGGTGGTGGGTGCCTGTAATCCCAGCTACTCGGCAGGCTGAGGCAGGAGAATCGCTTGAACCCGGGAAGTGGAGGTTGCACTGAGCTGAGATCATGCCATTGCACTCCAGCCTGGGTGATGAGAAACTCCAACTCAAAAAAAAAAAAAAAAAAAGGAGATAGCCTAAAGGGGATGCCTATTAACCACATTTGGGAAAAATTTGAGCACTGAAATAATCACTCTAATTAATAGAAAACTAAATAAATAAAAATCCACAACTTCGTAGTAATGCTGCAAAAGGAGAAGAAAGGATGGATTAAAAAGCCATCACACCTGTAATCCCAGCACTTTGGGAGGCCGAGGTGGGCAGATCACCTGAGATCAGGAGTTCAAGACCAGCCTGCCCAGCATGGCGAAACCCCATCTCTACTAAAAATACAAAAAATTAGCCAGGCATGGTGGCAGACGCCTGTAATCCCAGCTACTCAGGAGGCCGAGGCAAGACAATTGCTTGAACCCAGGAGGTGGAGGTTGCAGTGAGCTGAGATCGCAACAATGCACTCGAGCCTGGGCAACAAGACTGAAACTCTGTCTCAAAAAAAAAAAAAAAAAAAAAAAAGTGAAGTCTTTCTTTACAGAAGCAAACTAATTAGAACAAACGGTCAAAATTTTAAATCACCATTTTAGAACCCCCAATGTAATAACTAATACAGGTAAGGATCATTAAAGGATACTAAAACCATTGGCTGAAAGGTTAATGAGTTAGATATTCTTAAAGAGTCGTAATTACTTACAGCAAAGAACAAAATGCATCTTTCAACGGTACAATCTGGTGGTCAATACTCAAAGTAAATTAATTCAGGATCACTAATAAGTAGAAAAACAGAAATTATGTCCAATTGCAGGAAGTAGGCATCATCACTTATGATTTAATCTGAACCTA